GGACACACCGTCGGTGAGTGAGCAGGGAATAATACAGGACACAGGACACACCGTCTGTGAGTGAGCAGGGAATAATACAGGACACACCGTCTGTGAGTGAGTAGGGAATAATACAGGACACACCGTCCGTGAGTGAGCAGGGAATAATACAGGACACAGGACACACCGTCTGTGAGTGAGCAGGGAATAATACAGGACACAGGACACACCGTCTGTGAGTGAGCCAGGAATAATACAGGACACAGGACACACCATCGGTGAGTGAGCAGGGAATAATACAGGACACGGGACACACCATCGGTGAGTGAGCAGGGAATAATACAGGACACAGGACACACCATCGGTGAGTGAGGGAATACTACAGGACACAGGACACACTGTTGGTGAGTGAGGGAATACTGACCTCAAAAATTTCACAACATTTCAAGAAAACATTTCAAAAATTTCAAAAACATTTAGATCGAAAGCATATTAAATCTAACAAAAACAAACCATGAGTCCAAATTTAGTACTATAATTTGGAGGATTATCTTCTTTCCCCTAGTTCAGTCTTCCAATCCAGAGCATGCCTCTGTGTACAACTGTAGCATCCAAATTATACATCACTTTTCCTTTAAAAAATAAATACCATGCTGGGCCAGCCAGTAGTATGTGGTTAAGGCATCTGGATCCCACATGGTTGACAGTGCAGTTCAAGTCCCAGACCCGGAAGCTTGAGAAACATGCCAGTCACGTGTGTGAATGCCCAGAATCCCAGGAGGAGAAAGGATTGTGGTGTGGCCACCTACCTGGAGAGTGACCTCTCACTTCCTCTCTCTGTGTCTCTCTCCAGTGAGCACATGCACCCTATGTAAATACAAAATAATATTAAGTAGATAAAATGCACTAAGAAAAATGTATCCTAAGCCATACTTCATAAATGACAGTTAATTCATTTTAAGAGTAGGAAGAGCCTAATTGTGTCCACTTACAGCATTTTTCAAAACCTTGCTCAAAATAAGCAAGTCCAGGAATTTTGTCTCCCATTAGTCACACTTGAATCTCGGCATACTCTATATATACATCTCCACATTTATGTCATACGGATAATCAGTCTGCTATATCACTTCAAAATAAGCAGATTAGTACATGGGTATGTTTTAATCTTCTCACTTTTATTATTTACTTCTATTTCTTACTCCTAAGTAGTTCAGAGCTCAGTACACAGGAAAATGCCACAGATGAACTCTTTAAACTATTTTCAGATTAAAAGAAATAATATCAGTTTTGATGTCACAAAAAACCTTTCTTTCTTTTTTTCCTCCTCCTTTTCTTTCCTTCCTTCTTTTTTTCCTTCTTCTGTCCTTCCTTTTTAAATTTCTATTTGACCAGAGAGGGACACAGAGAGAGAGAGAGAGGGAACATAAGAAAACAAGCCACCAGGTCCAGGACTCAAACTGTGGTCAGCCATGTGGGAGTCCAATGTCCCCAATCACCATATCACCTGTTGACCCCAATCACGATAAACATATTAATAGTAGAAACCTGGTTT